ATTAGCCAGAGATAGGTAAAGACCCATTTGGAGCAACTCCGCTCCGCTCCGCTGCGGCCCCAGCATATATGGTATAAAAAGTAGGATATCGACACAAGACCTCCTCAGTTAGCTGACTTAGGAAGGATGGAATGGTGCTGAGCGTCTAGCCCCCCTTGCTTATCTTAATAGATCCGGAGGAGTGGCGGCTCCTAACTCAAAAAAAAGAACTACCCCCCCGATTCCTGTGATTTCGCAAAAAGAGGAGGATATCACAAACTATTCAAAAATCCAGAAATACTTGTGTTCTTCATTAGTCGTGTTCTTCAATAGTTGGGAGGTTAGTTGATTTTGGTATAGAATTAGTCAGTTAATTAATGGTTTTCACTGGGACCGGCGGTTCCAGGGGCACAACCGTGAATCTCGAATTAGTTAATTAGTAGTTAGTTAATTCCTAAATTAGTTAGTTATTTTGATAGTAGATGCTCCTTTACAGTCACAAGTTAGTTGATGACGAAGTTAGTAGGTAAATCATTAGTAGTTAGTAAGTTATCATTGTACAAAAGTGTGGGTATTCAATAAGTTTGGTAAGTTAGTGGAACTTCGTAATGAACCATAGTAATACTCAATTCTGTAGCTATTTATAAGTTATTTATTAGATAAGTTCCAACTAGACCTCGGGACAGGCGAGTCCCCCAAGGGGGACCTTTAGAATTATTTAACCATTAGCTATTAATCTTCTAATAATTTAATTAAATACAACAATATTCAATACACTTTATTAACTAATCGCGATTGATTATCGTCAATCGCAAATAAACTTCCAAATATTTATCTAATAATAAGCCCTAAATTACTTGAACTAACATAAGTAACAATAATAATAATAATTGTAAAGTGTATAAACAAGCGAAGCTTGGAGATAGATAAGTAGAATTGCGAAGCATCAGAATAAATAAGATAGATTATTAACCTTAGATTATTTCTAATAAACCCCCGATTTCCTGATGATGGAATCCTGTACGAATATTATGAATTATAAGAGACAGATAAAGATTAATTCAATAGCTCCTCCAAGGGAGGCTTCTTATAAGCCTTTGTCCCATCGTAATTGCGACAGCATCACAATTTCTATTCTTTAATCTAGAACTTAATTCTCTGGTAAATTAGAGCAATATATTTAATAATAATTAACAATCCTAATCTAACAATATCCACTTTATTTGAGATTCTCAGTTCAATTAGTTTCATTAAAGGTCCCTGATACTTCTTATAATGTTGACAATAATTATGGAGTTGATTATTATAAGAATTATTAAATATGGATCTTAGATAAATACTTAAGTCTATTAATTCCTAAGTTCTATTAAAGATTATGGACAATAATAAAAGATAATATGATTATAAGATAGTAGGTCTAAATTCTTTATGATATTATACTAGAAAATAGAATAATAATATATAGGTATAAAAGATTATGGTAGAAGAAGTTCTAATAGTAGCAGTATGGAATACTGGGATATATAAATAGATAGGTAAAATTACATTAAAGTATATATATATATTGTTATAATACAAATTGTAATGATTTAAATATAGATCCAGAGGTCAAGATAGAATAGGTATATACAAGTTGATGGTATACAAAGATTCTGGTATAAATAGTTCTAAGATATAGGTATAAGAAAATAGAATATATAAAGATATAAGTATTAGATAATTGGTATAAGAATTATATAGTGGAATTACTACTTTAATATAGTAGTAAAAATATAAGTTAATATATAATAATAATAGTATAAGTTTATAATGATAATAGTATAAGGTTTTATTATACAATGATAATAATAGAATTGCGTTACGTCCCGAGGGGACTCCGTACCCGAGGTCCGGAGGAGGGCCTTCGGATCGCAATTAGTGTATTACTTTATATATTCTAGTTAGTAGTCAGTTATATGGGTCACTACGTGAATTAAGTATTAGTTATTGTAGAATTCTGATAATTATTATTGTATATCGATGCGTTGCAATACATTTCTATTACTTCTAGTTCTATTCTGAGGGCTACGCCAATTATTAAGTAGTGGTTCATTATTATAGGTTATCCACTAGTACTAATCTTGCTATATATATGTATTAGTAGAGTATTACTTATTCAAAATCTAATTACTTTATTCTAAATTAGAATATATCCATTATTGTATCATTAGTATTGTTTAATCTCTATACTATTATTGGTCGACCTCCGGACGGATTTATCTATTGTTTACTTGTTCATTAGTTATATCATCTAGACTCTATACATCTTAGCTACTTTAATATCATTATTATCTAGTACTTGTTATCTATATTCGTTATTCCAGATAGAGATTTGTTAGTAGTATATACATTATTTATCTACTTGATAGGCAACGCCGTATTTCTAATTACTATCGGTCATTACATGAATTATATTATTGTATTCTTTATGTTGGTCATCCATACTATACTTATCATTAGTTTAATTATTAATATATTGTACTATTCTTTAGTATCCATTACTTATTTGTATTATTAGTACGGTCTAAGACCTTTAATTATATATTGTTATTACGTATTGTTATTTAATTATTGGGTGTAGCTCTCTATGTATATTAGTATTATTGTTTATTTACTAGTATCAGTGTATCTATTTCTTTAGTACTAAAACTATAAAAATCGAAGCACAGCAATAAAGTATAGTAAATTAGTATAAATTCTATTATGTTATTAATTATAAAAGTATATCGATGCGGGTCCCCCTTCGGGGGGCCCCTCCGGCCCAGAGGTCCGTAGGAGCAATATTTATTATATTATTACTTTATCCATTACTATATCTATATTATTATTGTATATCCATATAAGTCTTTTATTATCTTGTATACTTTACTTATTCATTAGTCACTTTATCTATGGCCCTATGGCCCTATGTTATAGAGTCAGTAGTTCTCCATATTGTTTAAATTATATTATATACTTTTAGTTTATTATATCTACTTTACTTTATTAGTATTTGTCGTTACTATAGTATTGTTTATTAGGGTCTAGGACCTATTTTGTTATTTATCTTGAATTTGTTATCTAGCATACATTAATATTTAGTTGGGGGCTTTGCCCATTATTCATTACTTCTTATTAGTTATTTAGTATTACCCCTGCGGTTATATATAGTATTCTCTATCTTTATCCTCTCCTTTACTATATCTTTAGTTGTGGTATTAGTTATTCTATACTCGGCGTAGCCTATCGGCTTATATTGTACATTTTGTATTGGGCGTAGCTCATTTGTAGTTATAGTATTTATTTAATTGGTTTATTCTTACTATTAGTTGTATATATTATATCTGTCCTTGTTTATTATACTTATAGATTAGTTCTACTTTGTCATTATGTACTATCTATTATCAATTACTCTCTCCGGTATTATAGTGTTAGTCAGTAGTTATATGTTTAGTAATTAGTTAACTCTATATCGATGGCTCCTCTGGAACGCCAATATCTACTCTATATATTATTATATTCATTGGTTTACAATATTGTATCTTAATATTACTTGTATTCAGTATCTTCTTGTTATATCTACTATTGTATTTTATATATCTCGCCCCTCCGGGATTATGTTCTACTATTTTATCTAGAGTTTAAGTATTGTTGTATGTTATTTTTTACTATCTGTATTACTTATTATGTCGTTGTTATATGTTATTTACTACATCTATTACCTATTTCTACTTTATGGTTACTATATTAGTTTCTAGTTATTATCTAGTAGTTCTATGTTATTGGTTATCTATTCAGTAATCATTATATATATCTTGACCTCTGGATTGTTGTAGTATACTCTTTATTCTATTGTTATACTTAATCATGTAGTTCTTATAGTTTAGAATCTTTCTTTATCTATATCTTTAATACTTACTAGTACTTATTACTTATACTCTATTATTACTTTTTTAAATTATTGTTAGAGTTTTTCATATTGTGACATATGAAAAGAAGGATTATATAAATAGCATTAAATATAAGAGATTCATTTAATAGAATATGTAAGAACTGATTTACTTAACACAAGTAATAGAACTCAACATTAAACTATTTAATGATTAAAATAAGGTAAGTATTAAATTGTAATACAATATAGGGGGAATGTAGTATTAATTGAACCTTAGGCAATATGTTCGAATATCACAGATTAAATCAATAGCATAATAGGAAGAATAATGTAAGTAATTAAATGATATTAATATTTAATACTCATAATAGAGAGTAATATAAGACAAATGTTAACAATAAAGCCCAAATCCGAATGAGTAAAGACTGAAATATGTAAACTAAAATGGTTAAAGTTAAAGGAGTAAATAAATAAGTTAAATAAACCCTGAGACTAATATTTGGATACTTAAATCGATGCGAAGCAATGTAATAATAACAATCTATGAGTAATATGTAAATAATATAATAATTTAATCAGAACTGATAATTGCGAAGCATCGAGACCAATACTACAATTATTGACACTAATAAATTAGATGTATAAATTTTAATTAGAATAAATTCTATTTATAATAGGACAGGATAAATAGTATTAAGAATTAAACCTTTAATTATAAATATAGTAAGTTGCGAAGCATCGGGAATAATTAAAATGAATGAATATAGGTAACAAATTGATATAAATATACCAATGACTAAAAGGAATAAATTACTTAAACCCACTGGGTTAAGATATAGTAAGATAACCAATTATAATAGCAATAGAATCTCTAATAGACAGTTAATATAATACAACTAGCAATATAATTAGATCATATAATTATAAATATAAGAGGAAGAGTAGTCATAAATCACTCGTAATAATAAATGGCTCCGCATCAATCTAAAATAATAACTAGAATAAATAATTAGAATAACCCAGTGAGCCATAATAAACAACAATTTATTAGTGAATAATGAACACCTCCACATAGGAGGCTTCTGATTTATACCCGAATAAAATTGAATGGCAGGGGTGGTAGGACTCGAACCTACACATGCTTGGTCCAAAACCAAGTGCCGTTACCGATTTGGCTACACCCTTCGGTCTTAGTTAATAACTGGAGTATTGTTACACATAAAGTCAAGAATCAGGCACTATCTGCAATCTAAAATAAAGCCTTTGGCTGGGATAGATACTCTTCCTTAAAGTCAAGAGGGTTTACATGAAATTGGGAGGGTTGACAGGTAGTTAAGATAAAGAGTCAAAGGTCTCCAGCGTTAAGCTGAAGATCTTCGATCTGGATTCACCAAGAGGTAACTCGGGGAAAACTCAACTATAGATAGTGAATTTAGAGTGATGATACGCAATTCTATTCTATTTTATATGTGGTCGTTCGGGTAAACCCCTCACTCTTCCACAATTATACGGTACGATACCTCTAAATGTAAACCAGGGATAGGATGTAGTCTAATGGTGAGACAGCAGACTGTAAATCTGTGCGTAAGCAATGTTGGTTCGAGTCCAACCATCCCCAATTTCGGCCTCCGTATCTAAAAGAATCTCTCCCTCGGGTTGCTATCACTGCCCCATATCTTCTTTGAATGTATTTTACACTAGACTTCTTAGTCTTCTATTATAAGTAGAAAGAGTATTAGTGATTAAAGTCCCGAGGGGAGGTCCATCTGACTTATCTCTAGAATTGAATTACTTAACCTATATTACTTATTATTAAAAGTCTATTATGCAACTGATTTTTTTCATTATATTACTAAGATTCATCGATTAGTTATTACTGGCTCCTTGTCATCTGTAACTTTTTATATTAGCCGGCCTTCGGACGGATTGTCTCTGAAATTCTCTTAGTCAGTCTATTCTAGATACTTATATACTTAGATATTCAGCGGACCTCTGGGCGCCGCTTAGCCCGAAGGCCTACGCGTCGTAGCTGGAGATTATTCTAAAGTAAATTATTGGTGTGTTACACATCAATAGCCTATATTAGAAGTATATCTAATAGATTATATGTCCCGATAGGATCACTCCGTGAAGCATTCCATATTCTGTCATTAGAAGTTCTAATTAGTTAGTGAACCTACATAATAATTAGTCAATTACAATCTTTAGTAAATTCCAATACTACAAGTTTGTTATGTATAGAGTTAGTCTAGCGTTAGTGAACTTACGTAAAGAATTAATTGATTACAATAGTAAGTTCGGGTAAATACTCACTCTTACGCTACTAAAGGGACATAAAAAGTATAACAAAGAAATTAATAAAGATCGTTGCGGAGCATCAAATTCATTCATAAGAATTAGTTATAGAGAACAGCTCAAGGCTGTAATTAGGACAAGTAAGATAAGGAATCTGTAACTAACTATTTGAATTTACTACACTTATTTTGTATCATTATACCATGTAGCATTTTTATTTAATAAATCAATGAAATTAGTTAGAGTCATTTTAATAGAACAATTATAGTAATTTAGAGTGATCCAGTTATGTAGTTAGTTTATATACCCAAGAATGAATTGAGAAGTTCAAGACTGTAAGGACAATAGAATTCCTATTTAAATTTATTTATTTTATCTAACAATACCATTTATCTATATTTCACAATAATACATCTTATCGCCCCGTAGGGGCCTTAATAAATCCTCGGGGACAGAGCCCCCTCGGAACACTATTCAATAACTCAACCATTTATCACTATAATATTAATTACTAAGGATGTTAACTACATTAATAACAATACTATTCAATATCTACATCCATCACTCTTAACTACATTGCGTCCCTTTGGGACACTGCTAACTACACTAACTTCTATCCATTAATTACTAATACCTACACTAATCACTAGTAACTACATTAATAACAATATTCACTAATAACTACACTAACCCGTGGTTATCTCCATTTTATTAGATTAACTCCCTTGCGGTACTTCGCAATCTACACTACCCATTTAAGTACTAAGATATATCTTCATTGCTATCTCCAGGTATCTAAATTATAGATAACTACTCTCTTAATCTATCTACATACCATCCCAGCCTGAAGGGACATGTATCTTCATAGTATCTAGGGGACAATGACTTCCGTTGGGAGTCGTCACCGTCAACAAATAAATACGTTAAGAACCTTTATAAAATAAATAATAAGAGTAAACATGTAGTATATAATTAAGTTAACAGTATTAATCTTAGATATAAGACACCAAGTAAGCTAGATAATTATAAGAGTTTAACTATAGAAGATAGAGTTCCGAGGGGACCCTGGTTCAGGGGTGTTAGTGGTGTAGGTACCTCCACCACTCACCTCCACCACACAAATCCTTAAATAAACTAACTCTTATAAATAACTATATAAAGAGGGAAATCATCTAAAGGACTTAAATCAGCAATACCCTTTAATATATAAATAAGTAGGTAATTAGATAATTAATCAGAGGATCCGTCCGATGCGCCTTCGGCCAATATGACTAGTATAGATTATTCACTGAAAGTGGACAACTTCGTTGGAAACTTACTTCAAGATATTAGACTTAGAATAAAGAATAGTACTCTATTAATATAGCGATAGAAGGGGGTACTACAACTAATATAAGGAGAGGAGATATAGTTTTTATAAAGAGGATAGATTAGCAGACTATATTGATAATATTTGTCAAACTTATTATAATAAGAGGGACGATGTACAGTCGGATGAAATATAATATACAAAACAGGTAGATTGATAAATAGTCTAGAAATAGGATAATACGAGTAATAAAGATTGGCAAAGCCATCGATACTAACTATTACAAAGTAAGACCAGTCGAGATATCTGATTATAATGCTAACAGTTAAGGTTTGTCTACTTATTATATTAAAATAGAACCTACTTGAGCTATTTCACCATTAACTATAATATTATGACCGGCCTTCGGTATGATCTAAATAATTAATATCTCTATTATAGAGGTCCTTCTAAGTACTGTCAATAAACTATGACTATCTTTATTAAATTGCACCCACAGACAGCTAGATAAATAGTAAGTAAATATCAGTAAGGTAACTATCCTCTATTCAAATCTGTTATCACCAGCTATATACATAGCTTACTATAGATGGCGGTGGTACCCAATGCCAATTACTTATTTTAGTTATAAACTATTTATATACTTAGTTATATTATTTAGAAAATCCACTTGAAATATACACAGACTCCGCAATTCTAATTACTACTCAGATTTATAACAGTGGTTTACATTTCAAATAGTATCGGCTCTACTCACTGTATATTAGACTCTCTCTCCATATCATCTCGCTTGCTTTATTTTACGATGGTTGTAATTATTATGTATAATTTAAATATGTTACTTCTGCTCGAGAAGAGCTTATAAAGTATTTGTTCGTTGATACGACACCCCTTTTAATATCGTTTTATCTAGATTATTTTAGTATATTGTGTAGATCTCTTTAGTTCTAAATCATATTATCTAGGTCTACATATTAATAAGATATAAACACATAATAGTAACCTTATAGTTATTCAGTAGAAAGGGTTGAGTTTAATATATAAATCGAATATAAATTATTATCCTCTATAAGTCTATAGTTTAACTAGTCTAATACCATGGTTATTATTAGGTTTAATATTAGAAGTTACCCCCCTTTGGGATCTTATCCATTATTTAGAGTATCTAGTGCTAATCCCTCTTCATTTAATCTAAACCATATGTTTGGCTCGATGCTCCGCAACTATCTAATTAACCTCTTTTATGCATTTCTATTTAAACATAGGGGGCGATATTTTAGATATAGACGGATTTGATCCCATGAACCTCCGGATCCTGGAGATGTATAATACTGAATTTGACTACCTCCACCCCTGATAGATCGTAATACTTTTCATTTTCTAAATATTCTTATTAAATGCTTTAGTAATGCACCATCTATAGTATATAACTAAATGAAGTTGTGGAATAAGATATAGTTAATAGATATGGACAGAATACAGTATTGCTATCTAATACTAATAGTTTAGAATACAGTGAAATATAGGATAGTAAGTAGAAGTATAATCAATGTAATATAATACTATAAAGTAGGAATAAATATTTAGAGTCTAAGATTATTTTAGATAGTACTAGGTATATAATAATGTAATAGTATTAATATAGGTTCAGTTCTAATGAATTACTAGAGTAATAAGTAAGGAGTATTTATATAGAATCGTAGATTATAAAAATAGTGAAGATTTAATAAGGGGGTAATAAAGTAATACTAATTGTCTATTCTCTGATTACTAAATTGATTCCCGGATTTGCGTGTCCGACTGGACCTCGGGTCAAGACGAGTCCCCCCTTGGGGGGACCAAACCCTTCCAAATCCGTCAATTCTGAGCTCAAATTAGAAGTTCTGGGCTTAAACTAAATATATTCCGCTTAAACCAAAGATATCCCACTTAAACCAGAAAGATTAGCATTTAATTTAGGGAGTAATATTAGGAATTAAAGTGTTAAATATAAGGGATTCATTTATTAAATCAAGAGAATTCTGCCCAATATTAACTGGGTCGGATCTTATATCATTATAATTAATAGTATTCTACTTGGTGCTTCGCAATTCATATTTTATCTAGTTAGGGATTTATCCCATAAAAGGATGCTATTAGTAGTCGTAGTATTATTAATATTAGTATTGGGCTACGCTCTTTATTAGTATTTAGGTAGGTATCTTTATTAGTATGGGTATTACCTTATTAGATTCTAAGAGAGTTAATTTATAAGTATATAGGTTGTAATAGAACGTCAGTAATCCTTAAAATTTGTTTTAG